TGCTCTTAGTTAAGGTCGAGTTTGAACCTTAACACAACATATTTTACATCACGCCGAGGTCGAATTCGAACCTTGGTCCGACTTATCTCGCTCTTATTTAAGGTCGAGTTGAACCTCCATACGATTCATTCTACTTCAACCCAAGGTCGAGTTCGAACCTTGATATAATCAACTCAAGGTCGAGTTCGAACCTTGATATAATCCACTCAAGGTCGAGTTCGAAGCTTGGCATAATCCACTCAAGGTCGAGTTCGAACCTTGGCATAATCAATTCAAGGCCGAGTTCGAACCTCGGTATAATCCACTCGAGGTCAAGTTTGAACCTCACCGCGAAACATCTCAATTTCCCCCAAGGTCGGATTTGAACCTTGGAACAAATCACTTTGCTCTAAATCGGGTCTAAGCGCCACAAAGTACAAAAATACATAGCAAATGCTGAACGTGTTTTCAAATCGCGCAAACAGGAAAAAATCAAGCCTAAACATATCATTATATGTTAACAAATGAATTCATTCCATAGATAAATTATTTTAAATTTTAAGATAATATACATATAGAGGCACGAAGTGCCTCGGCTCCGCTAGTAATTTATATTTTTTTTGAACTATTTTATTCATTTTAAATAATAAAAATTAATTTTCAAAATTAATTAAATGTTAAAAATCAAATACATTATTTATTTTTATTTTATTGGCCGAAGTTACCATTCAATATATAACCTCTGCAAACTACCCGTTGACACAGTTAGTTATGAGTTAGTTACTATTCCTAAAGAAACCACTCATCCTTTAGAGCACTTTGATAACTTTGATACCTTTCTTCAGCTCTCGCAGATATTTTTGAAATATCAAAGCTTCACCCTCTGACCTTATGTTTTATCTTTTAAAAAGTTCAACTTTAATTTAGTTTTTAAAAATGTTGAATAAATTTATTTGATTATAATTCACTTTGATAACTTTGATACCTTTCTTCAACTCTCGCGGATATTTTTGAAATATCAAAGCTTCACCCTCTGACCTTATGTTTTATCTTTTGAAAAATTCAACTTTAATTTAGTTTTTAAAAATGTTGAATAAATTTATTTGATTATAATTTTTAAACTGAATTCCTGTATTTTAAAAATTGTTATAAATATTCATTTCAAAAAGAATTTATCAGATTGCCTTTATCTTTCTCCATGGTAAATGAAGAAAGGCTTTGGTTTCTTTATATGAATTTATTTATTATATAAGCAAAATCTGATAAAGAACGATTTTGCTATCTTCTGGATGAATGAACATGGAGTTTTAAAATAGTATTTGTGCCTCCATTAAATTTATCCGTCGTGTATTCAAAAGGTGTCATAAGATAGTTTTACCATTTATTTATTTATTTATGTAATTTATCTTTAAACATGATAAATGGAGAACCAATTATTGATACAAAACAGAAAATAGAAATTACCAATTGTGGTGTACGATAGAATGACTCCTTTACAATTGCTATCACAATGGCCACACACAAATAAGAGTTTTACTTTGCGATTCCAATCAACAAATATAACAAAGTCAATAAAACAAAAACACCTAGTAGAAAAACATGAAAAAGAGAGGCAAAGACTGTATCAAGGATAAAAAAGAATAGGGTGTGAGAGAGATGGAAAATGCGAGATGTGGGAAATATGGCGAAGTCAATAAAACAAAAAGACGTAATAGAAAAAAGTGAAAATGAGAGACGAAGATTTTACCAGAGATAAAAAGAATAGGGTGTGATAGAGATGGAAAGTGAGAGATACGGGAGAAATGAATAGAATAGAAATTATAATAAGAAGTGAAGTGGTGGTTTGACGGTTTATAAATTTTGAATAAAGTAGTTACAAATTTAAGAGGTGATTTGTTATCTATTAAAGGGTAAAAGAGACTAAAGAAAAATGGAAACCAAAGCTTTTTGTATCCCCTTTATATAATGTTATAGATAGTTAGATAGATAGATAGATTATGAAGGGAAAAAAAATCTACGAAAAGCTAGACAAAATAAAAGCCTAAAAGATTAATTACGATGTCTTTTTTAAATAAAAAATTTAATTGACATTTACTTTACACATGTCAACCAATTAAAAAAAATTTGTGGGGTTAATTTTAAAATAGTTATTATAAAATGAAAAAAAAAAATGTACTATACATGATAATTTATTTGTGATCGCACTATAATTATAATTACAAAATACAAAATTAATGTATAAAACTAAATTCTAATAAAAATCGAAAACTCTTTTATAAAAAGAAAGATCAGAGAATAACGTCTGAGAAAAGGCAAATCAAATCAATGAACAAGAAATCCTATATATATATATATATATATAATGCAGAAATGATTTCTGTTGAGTGCACACATAACATTATGAATTGATAACAAGCAAAAGGAAACTAATTAATATGACAGACAAAAATTGATAAATTATGCACCTTAATCTATCCATTATATAGAGTATTTGATTACTACGTGATTGACGCACCACAAATTAAGCAAATTATAAAATTATCAATAGGAATTAACACGTTTCCTTGAACATGAAGAGATTTCTAGGGCACTAACATGCATTTTTGTCAACTTTTTAAATTATGTCAACATCTATATGAATTGTGAAGTGAGACAAAGATGATGCAAACTGTGACATTAGAAATTTTATTCAATGGCTGAGGTGGGAACGGAACATTGGCCACATTTTCTGGGTTTAATTGACATTGACTTTCTAATAGTAGAAAGTAGTAACTAACAACAACTTCACTTGGTTAATTAATGGAATTCATATAACATATATTTTACTACTATGACTGCATCAATGTCAACGGTTATCTAGAATGAATCTTATAAATATTTTCTTCAGTACATCAAATGAATGAATTATTGGTTATCAGCTTGACACACTGCATGGATTATGGACAAAAAAAATGTACTGTATTGAATATTTTTAATTACTTAAAAATATATTTTACAATTTTTTTTTGTTTTTGTTCTCTTAACATTATTTCACAATATAGAAAAACTGATTTAAATTGCTATTATAAAGTTTTCGATAATCTTTTAAATTTTATAACTATCTTAACCATTTTCTAATAATAACCATTCTTTTTTACAAGAATAGTAACCATTTTAAGAAGCAATTTTTTAGTTACAATTATTCTTAATTACTTACTTAGGTATATTTGTTCTTAATTTTTATTAAATAAATGTATTTAACATAGTTGATTGAAGCAGCGGCTGAATAGGAAATTAGAGTAAGGGACCGTAGCAATTAATGGAGATTCTGACTTATTGTATTTTTTTTTTTTAAGTTGGTGAAAATAATTTTAAATTAAGATATATATTCAAATTTTTCTCAGCCACAAATTTTAGATTATATTTATAGGGTATACAATTAACTTTACATGTTATTTAAACGGGCACTAAAATTATATCATGAAAAAGGTTTCCCATCCCAGAGAATGATAATCATGTGAATGCTTCAAAACACTTACATCATGAAAAGCCACGGAATAATAATTACTTAAGCGTAGTATGTATTGTTTTTTTAGCTAAAATTTTAACTCGATAATATTTATAAATATTTATTAATGAAACTTAAATTAAATATAAATATATAATATTAAAATATAATTCTATTTGTGATTAAAGAATAATATCAATCACGTCTAAAAAAAATTATACCTAAATTTTATTTATTCCAAAATTACATCATGATTGAAAAGTTTTTAGTTTAATAACAGAATTTTTATTTTGAATTTGTAATTTTTAAGTGAATTTTATTTTTGCTAATTAATTTATATAAAAACAGATTTCACATGATTCAGATCCTAAATTTATTAAACTATTAAGATGGAATTAATGGTAAAATTAAAATACCACGTATAAGATGTTAAGTTTGAAACTTATTACCTTAATGTGGTTCCAACAAAAGAAAAAAAAAAATTCAAAATTCATTCACATCACTCTTATAGGACTGAACTTCAAAATTCATTTTTGTACATTGGCTCAAATGAATACCTAAATATAGATTAGAGATATATTGCAATCTTAAAAGGTACAATATTTGTCTTCAACTAATTCTAAAATTTTGAAATCATAACCAAGTAAAACTATAAATTCAAAGGTAGAGAATAAAATTTTAATTTTAATTTTAATTTAAATATTGACTGTAAGTATAAAATGTAAAAGAAAAAAATAAAAATCCCCTCAAGAAGCAGAGGAGACATTAATAAAAAAAATAATATAACAAGAAATTAATTTCAATATATTTTCACTATAGTTTAGACTAACAATCAATAAGTAAACATGTTCGATTTAAAACAATTATCATAAACTCCATCATTTTCAATTACACTATAAGCTATACAAATAAATTCTACGACAAACCTACTTTAAATATAATTTTTTTTCTAGAAACAACTTTTAACTTCAAATTTATATTAAACAAGAACCAACTTTTTTGAAGATTTTAAATCCTTATGAAAAAGTCAACATTTGAAAAGCAATTTCCATTGCATTTACCAGTCCAAAATTTTGAGTTCTAGAAATAGCCTCCATGAAGCAATAGAGGGCTTGGTTTAGTGGGTCCCAGATAAATGTAGGAATCCTTAGGAGTTAAGAAGCGGCATGAGTGTGGGACCCACACGTTTGTCTTAGCAATGGCAAGTTCCAACTTGGAAGGAATATGGCAACAACCAACCCCACAAGTCTATGCCAATGCCAATCCACGCAATGCAATATTTTAACCCTTTCTCTTGTTCTCTAATTCATGATATATATATATAGTCCCGTCTTTATAAACCTCGTAAAGAGTCTCTAACTAAAATCCCGTTCCAACGTCCACAGCCGCATTTCATTTCACGTCTTCAAATTTCTAGCACCAAAAATTTCGAGGTACGCTTCCCTTTTTCTTCATTTGACTTTGTCTATAATACACAATCTCTTTTGGTTTGTGATGTCAAACATGTACCTATATATATATATGATATTGATATGAATCATATGATTAAATGGGTGGCGCTGAATTTGACTTGCAATTTATTATTGCCTATGTTGATATTGATATTGACATCTCCTTGTGCTATATAATGTGGAGACCGTTATCATATGTATCATCAGAATCAGAATCAGAATCTTAATCTTGGTGGGGTGTTTCAATTTCAACCAATTGGGTTTGGGCTGATAACATGATGATTCGATTTCCATTGGTGGTTCTTGTATTGATAATTGGTACCTTGAGATGCAGAATGGCCAAAGCAGAATCAAATCCTGATTCTGGGAACGGGTACACGCTGGCTTCGGTGAGGGAGGCTTTGGTTAGGCAAGAGGATACAATCATTTATGGTCTTATTGAGAGAGCCAAGTTCCCTAGCAATTCTCACACCTATGATCAAAACTATGCTCAAATCCAAGGGTTTTGTGGCTCATTGGTGGAATTTGTTGTTAAGAATACAGAGGCCCTTCAATCTCAGGTATTATTTATTGGAAAATGCTAACTAGTACCCTTAAGTCATTGATTAAGGAATCGAAAGTAACAAAACATTAATTGAAAAGTATATCTGCACATTCTCTAGTGTAATTTTATTGTAATTTTTAATGGAAACTTTTTGTTTACTAATTCTTTAATCAGTGGGAAGACCCTTATTTATCATTACCTTATTCTTAGCATGTTTGTTTTCTGGTCTTGTTTTGTTTTGGGTTGTCAGATTAGTTGTGACAGTGAACGTGTATCTGAATGGGTGGCATGTGCTTTACTTTCAATGAATTTGGCAGATTCTTATTTCGTAAAATTGTAGGTGTGCAAGTGGATGTTAAAACTTTAAATGGTGTCATTTAATATTCTTGGTGATAATCTTATAGGGACCTAGCTAGCATCATAGACTGCAGAGTTAAAGACTCGTGTTGAATACTACTAGTTTTCATTTTCTGTTTTTTCCCCTTCCTTAAAAGAAAGATGAGGATGGAGGGATAAGTTGATTTTGTAAGTCCATTGCAAGATCCTTAGTCAGTTCTGACTCTCGTCTTAGGTGCTGAAAATTATGGGCATCTTTGATAATGTGATGCTCTTTTAACAAAATGGAACTTTTCTAGAATTTTTTCAAGATCTAGTTCTTAATTTTCTGCTTGTTATTACCACATAAGTGTGAAAGATCACATAGCTGTTTATTCTTCTGTTATTTGCATTTGAAAGAATACTAGGCCTAAAGCACTACAGTAAATTACAGGCTGGAAGATACAAAAACCCTGAAGAAAACCCATTCTTCCCAGAACATTTGCCACCATCAATTGTGCCATCTTACCCCTTCACACAGGTAATGCAAACACCAATGTGGTATCATTTTTCAATTTCCATAATTCTTGCAACTTAGAAGAAAAGGGACTTATTTTAACTTAATTCCATCTTCAGATTTTGCATCCTAGAGCTGCTTCAATTAACATAAACAAGTCCATCTGGAATATGTATTTCCAAGAGTTACTTCCATTGCTTGCTACTTCGGGTGATGATGGTAACTACGCACAAACTGCAGCTAGTGATCTTTCATTATTGCAGGTAAGATATTCTCCGAATGTTCTTTTAGGAGTATGTTCATGGATGAAATTATGTAAAGCAATATTTACAGTTCAATTTTTGTCAAAAGCAGTCTCAACTCTCAACTATAATTCTGTGCATGATTTGCAAGTGTCCTAGACTAGTGTTGATTCTGAATGTTCATTCTTTAAAATATTTGCAGGCCATCTCTAGAAGGATTCATTATGGAAAATTTGTAGCTGAGGTAAAATTCAAGGATGCTCCTCAAGACTACGAGCCTTTAATTCGAGCTAAGGTATATATGATGTACATTTCTGAGTGTTGCTTCATCTTATTTGGATAAACTTCTTGATATATATTTATACGTGAAGAAAAAAAAAGTAAACAAATTAAGTTTCACCTCTAAGTTAAAATTAGAAGTTCTTTCATTTTAACTTTTTAAAAATTTATTTAAATTTATGCATAAATTAATTTTAATTTATGAAATGCTATAATTCATTTTAGAGTTTAATGACTACGCACCAATAATGTAATCGTAAAGTATTTTTATATTGTCAACCAATTATAATTCATTGATGGTATTTACCATGTAAAGTAATTACAATTTACTAATAGTTTGGTTTTTTAGTTATTTATTGTAAAAGTCAACAAGTTCATCCACATGATAGTTTATGATTATATGACAGTAACAATGTCAATGCATAGTCTATTTTCTCTTTGTTTTATCTTAATTTCTTCTTCTGTAAGTGTTTCATTAAGAAATTTATATAAACAAAATCTTAATTCCATGACTTCCAAGTGTTGGATATAATCATGTTTTTTTGTTTTATGCTACTTTGGTTTATATTTAAAAGGGTACACACCTTTGTTTTTTGCAGGACAGAGAAGGGTTGATGAAATTATTGACATTTACAAGTGTTGAAGAGACGGTGAGGAAGAGGGTTGAAAAGAAGGCAACGGTATTTGGGCAGGAAGTAGGTCTTAACAGTGATGATGTTGGCAATGAAAAACGTAAGTTTGAGCCATCAGTGGCTTCTGAGTTGTACCAAAAATGGGTAATACCTCTTACCAAGGAGGTTCAGGTTGAATACCTCTTGCACCGTCTAGACTGAAGCCATTTCAATGCACTTTGAATGTAAAAGAATATCATGTTGTTGTTCAATTGATTAAGCTCTCAACTGATCCTTTATTGCCAATTTCGTGTAGCTGTTGATTCAAAAATAATATTTGTAGCTTTAGACTATTAATTACCTTTATTTCCCCGACTTAATTTATTATAAAAAAGGATAGATGCACGAAAATCAATGTGTCCTGAGAAAACACAGAAACTAGCCTACTTTATTATGAGTACAACTTGTTCCAACCTTTAATCCGTTAGCATCCTTAGGATCACGATTCAATGTATTATTTGTTTTGGTATTTGGTGACTTGTCATAGTTTTGTTTTGAATAAGTGCTTCCATGGATTAAGGGAATTGTATGTTTTGAACTCGCCATTTAAGAGATGTGAGTTTTTTTTTTGTAACAAACTCCACATAAAAACATGCGTGTAGATAAAAAATAAAAAAAAATAAGTAAAAAGTGTCCTTAAATGTGACATACTTACAATGCATCATAACCCACAACGAGATCATTGCCACTAACGAGGAGCTCTACAATCCTACCTATAATGGCATCTCTATCCTTGACAACTGGATGTCAAGGTGAAGAAGGAGATGAGATTTAAGTATAGGGCAAAGAAGGAGAAAGTGCACGACAAAGAGAGGGAGAAAGCACAAGTCTCAAGTCTCAAGTCTCAAGTCTCAAGTCCTTAACACTTCTTCCAATAAGCGTTGACTCCTTGACTCTGATTAGAAAGTTGCATGAATGAGATTCATTTATCTTCTTCCTCTTCCTTCGGCAAAACTCTACCGAACTCCATCACGAGAACCCTGCACTCCCGTCTAGAGGGCCCATGGATGGCTCAACTCCTTACACCGCCTACACCAAGCCCATCGTCGTCGATAACCACCACCACCTCATCATCTGTGATGCTTGTGAGCACGACTTTCATCTTGCCTACGTTAGGTGTTGTAGCGACGACAACAACTGACAAGTGGCCATCCTTGACGAGTGCATTGTTGTCGAAATCAAGAGCAAGCGATGGCCGTTAGAGTTAAGTTTAAGGAACTTCTAACAAACAAAAAATTGGTTTTTTTTTAATAATTTTTAATAATTTAAATAAAAATAAAAATAAAAATATTTTTTACTCATAGTTTACCGTTGAACAATATGATAAACTTGTCCACCGTAGCCATCATAAAAAAAAGGGTAAAAGTGATAAATTATTTCTCACAAAACTACAAGATATAAAAATTCACCTAGAAGTGTTCTAATACAAGTCCCCATTAATTAGTCCCTCTTCTGTACAATTGGTATGAGTGTTTAGAATTTTTCTAAAAGAATATTTGCCTTAATCTTATTATATAAGAACTGAGGTTTTAAATTAAAAATATGTGATTTACCAAATATTGTTAACTAAGAACTAAAGTTCAACTCCTAACTTAGCTATAAAATTGTAATTGAAAGTATCATTTTACTCTAATATGATGAATTGACTTGATAAAAGGTTATATCTTCTTATAAAAAAAAAATATTTGATTTATTGTTTTATAACTTTCTTACTATAAGTTCTTTTATGATGAAACTTATCAAAATAAATTAATATTTATGAAAGTTCTCGTATAAATGTTTATTAAACAAATATTTAATTATATATACAAATACATTATTTGTTGTTGGTACAATTATTGGTATAGCTGTGCAACAAAGAAGAAACGAAGAGAAGACAATTTTTTAAGGTGGTATGTATGTAAACACTAACTTTAGATTTGGTTCATCCCCACCAATTTTTAGAATGAAGCGTATCATCAATTGCGATTTATAGAATAATAGTTTTTTTTTAATTATCTCTACACACAAAGAAAGCCGAAAGATGATTTACATATGAAGAATATGAATATTTGTGTGTGTTTTTTTATTTATATTTTACGTTTTTGCATGCATAGTGACTACGTTTTTTAATTTTCATTTTCAAACATAATTTTATCTTCTCTTCACGTCCATATATTAATTTACGTGAAAGTTGTTATTTTTTACTTCTGATTAAACGTGATTTTTCATATCGTGATTCTAATTTAAACACGTTCTGAATCTACTTATAGATCACCTCATGTCATTTGATAAAAATAAGGTCTTTTAAAGTTATACTTTTTGTGACTTTTGATGAAATGAAAAGTTACATGACTTTTTATAATAAATAATTTTATATAAGAAATGGTTTAATTATGTTTTTAGTTCTCAAAATTTAATTTGTCTCTCAAATTTAAAATTAATATTTTTAATTTCTATAATTTTTTTAAATATTTTTTTAATTTTTACATATATTTTATTAGAACCTCAAACTTAAAAATATATATTTTTATTCTTTAAAATATAAAATATTATTTTAATCTCTTATTTAAAATTTATCATTTTAATTCTCATAATTTCTAAAATATTTTTTTAGTTCTTCATAATCACTAATAGAATAAATGACAGTGACATAGTAAGATAGAATTATAATACTAACAATAACATAATTATCAGTGATATATTAAGAAAATTTTATAGTATTATTTGTTGATTTAATGCAATATTTTTATTAATAATTATACTAGTAAAATATTTTTGTATGATAGATTAATTAATAATATTTGAGTAGAGAGACTAAAATAACATTTTTTTTATACATTTTGGAGGCTAAAACTACATGTTTTAAATTTGAAGACCAAAATAATTTTTTTATATATATTTTAGAGACTAAAAACATGTTCTAAATTTTAGAGACCAGAAAAATACATACCTCAAACTTGGAGGAATAAATACATAATTAAGTTAAAAAAAAATTATTTTTAAAAATCTTTTACATCTCTCTACGTAATAAAATCCTTTTTTATTAGGTGAGTTGGAGTAATGAATTATCAAAATAGTGAAATTGTAATCTTTAAAAATTCAGTCTTAGAGAGAAAATTTTAAATCTAGGCCTTTTAGTGTGGTTTCCCTCGGTGTTATTTAAATCCTTTTTATCTTTAACTATTGTTTAATCACCATTATCAAAATCATATAAGAGTAAAAGAAATAACATTGATTATTAGATCATTAATACAACTATGAGACATTTTTTGAAAAGCCTGTTTGATTTTTCTAAGTAGCCATATATGTGTAATAAACCTAGCATCTTTTTCCTTCAATTTTGGCGGAAATGATTTTGAATAATTGGACTACCCACTCTTTAACTTTCGGCTCTTGAATGTTGCATTCCATTCATTTGAGGCTCTTGCAGAATTACTTCTATTTTAAAAGGTGAATACATCAAACTTTATTAATTGCTAATGAAATTTGGCAAAAGTAACTTTTGCAATAAAGTCATTCATAATGCTTTACTCTCTTTACTCTTATCTATCATTTGATGCACTTTCCTCTCTGTAATAATGTAAAGTAAGCATTAATTTGATAGACAAATCATTTGATTGCAATGATTTAATGTATGAAAATTTGTTTGGGACACAAAAAACAAATATTTGTTGAGGGTAAAAAATAAGGGTTGATGACTTATATACTGCTAGTATAAAGTTTTTTTTACACTAGCAACCAGTCATATTTTTTAATAGTATCAAGTCAATTATTTATTTAATAAAATAAAAATAAAATAAAATAATTTAAAAAATATGATTTGACAATGTAAAATTTACACTAAACATGTACGAATGATTAACTTAAAAAAAATAATTGAGGCAAAATTATAATGTCTTTTCTTCTTTTTCCCCTGACATTCTGTAGAGGACGACAAACCCAGCAAAGGGTATCCAAGATTTTTAGTGTCAACATCTGTACAATTTTATTAAACATATATTCAATTATTTTTTTTTATCAAATCTATTCAATATTGTTATTGCACTAATTTATGTCCAATTTGAAGGTATTAATACAAGTTAAAAAATGGTTATTAAAATAAATTAAAAAAGCTTAAAGAGTCAGTCAAATTTATAAACCAAATCAATTTCATAAAAATTTCTTCCGAACTAAACTCTCGTTATAAAAATATTTAAGATGTTTATTCAAGAAAACTCCCTCATCCCACATAGTAGGCATGATCTTCCTTGCTATTGATCATGACTCACTTTAAGCTAATAACGAAATATTTGAAGTTTCACTTTTTATGTTGTCATGATAAGTTCCATTGGATGCGAGCCTCTGATATGGGTTTTCAAGATAACTGAAATAAGAGTGAACAATGAAAGAAACAGATATGATAATTCACTTATATTTATATTTATGGGGCCAACATTAGACCACGCCACACGTTCAAAGACAAGTGGAAAGTTTATCTGATACCGTTGATGATGGAAATGCTGGTGAATGCGATAGTTCATGGTGCATCAACACCTCTTAACCCAAATTATTTTTACAATGCATTAGAAGAAGACAAAACAGCGCCAAATTGAGAGGGAGGGAGGGAGGTGCGACAATTAAGAAGAGACAGGTGCGAAATTTTAGAAAAGACAGGTGTGTTTAGAAGAGGGGAATAAAGGAGATTAGGCAAAAATTGTCTTTCCCACATTAAAATTTATACCTTCAAAAGTGCGAAGACTGTGCGCTTAAAATCATAATGCCAAAATTACCTTCACTCACTCTTCTTTTATTATACATGTTACTCATTTTTGCACAAGTTTTTTAGTGTGTATTAGAAATCACCATAATCGATTAAGGTGAGATCATAATTAAGGCAACATGTTTGAATACTTACTAAAACCACATAATAATCAAATTATACAATTGCCATAATCAATTATACGATCATCGTAAAAACACCATAATGCAATATAAGATAACATAATCCATCATGGCAAGTATCATAATCAGTTATGTTGCTAATTTATATAATAAAATTGTAACAAAAACGTATATTTGAAAATAGCAAAAGATAAAATAGTAACTGTTTAAATAATTTATTTTTACATAAATCTTTAACTATATATAATACAAATTAAAAATTTTATATTCTGTCTATTTCTCACCTAATTTCATTCTACTAAACAACTATAATTTTCACTCTATTTTCTACTTATTTCTCATCAAATCATTCTTACCTATTTTCTCCTGTTTGCTTCAAATTCTTTTCTTCTTCCAAACAAAGCATTAAACAAAAAAACAAAACTTACAGTAAATAGATAAATTATTATTTGACTTGCAAAAAGATTTAAAAATCATTTTAAATACTAAATATGTTTACACGCCACCTACGCAATAACAAACATAAAACGTACAACAATAATCCTTATCCCACAAGACGGGTTCTGCTAACGAGATAACATAAATAAAATTGCATCACCCTAGTGACTCCTTGTACTCTAGGGATGGCTAACGAATACGCATGACAATCTAACTCACTCCCATGAGTACTCGCTTGAACCCGCCCCGATTTAGATAAAAAAAAACCTGTGTTTATCGGGTTCGAATTTTTCTCGATTAATAAA